ATGTTATGAGAAAACTACAGTAGGCCTATTATAACATTTAGCATGATAGAGTAAGCTAATTTTGGTAAATATTCCAGATTTTTTTTATTGTATAACAACATGCTCTACCTATTATATCAACTTACCACGCATCGGGGGCATATTGTTACACTTGACTTTACTTCAAATTATTTACAAAATCTTTTATGTAACCAATTTTGTTCAATATAGAATACATAATTTTGATAAAGTACATATTTATCTTTCACTTTCATTCAGTTTCAATGTATGATTCGGGTTATTTCGCTAGATATTGGACTCTTTCTAAAAATCGTAACAACTAGCCCGGGTCTCTCCTAATATATGCCTAGAGTTAATGTGAACAGAAATAACAAGTCAAATTTACTTTGAACCAAACACAGCTAGACGACTGCAAGACAAGAATTTTTGTCTTGATATATAAGCACTAGCCCAGTTTCAATTTATATATGTTAACATAAAACTATACAATGGGTTATTTCTGCTGTGATCGTCGCAGAGATCGGGGCTTGAATTTTGGGTTATAAATCCTGATACCTAACGCTGACCCACCATGAATATAAACATTAGTCGAAATTATAATAACACCACCTTTTGACATAAGAGCTCTCAAATATGAAACACTTGCGTATTTATTAATTTATGTAATTTATTGTTCTAGTGTGACCTGGTGGTTAGGGCCCTCGACTCGCAACCTGAAGGTGGTGGGTTCGAATCCCCATCACTGAACATACTGACTCTTGCAGCCGTGGAAGCATTATAATGTAACGGTAAATCCCAATATTCGTTGGTAGTACAAGGGTTGACCCTCTAGTCCAGTTGTTCTTAACCTTTTTTGCTCCATGCCCCGCCTCAACACCTCAAAACATTTGATGCCCCCTTAATATAAAAACAAATTTGGTGTTGAAAAGGTATAATAATATAATGTAAACTTTATAAATTTACCAAAATTTCACACCCGAATGAAAATTTTTTTCTTACTGTAGCATTTTCAGATTGCCCCCAATATATTTAAATTGCCCCTCTATGGGGCGTGCGCCCCACGTTCAGAGTCACTGCTCTAGTCTATCACTGCTAAATTAGGGACGACTATGGATATCTCTCGAGAAGCTCTTCGTGAAATTCAAAACAAACAAATTGTTCTATAAAAAATAAAATAAAACACAAACAACTTAGAAAGGTATATCATACACGATAGTCAAAATCAGAAGTACCTCTCGCCATTAAATTAAACAAATAACATTATTAAAACGGCCACTTAGTGCTAGGCATTACAGAATTTTTCTGATACATTTTTAATTTATTTCTTTAAAAAAAACTGTTAATTCTCTGTATACTAAAATGAAATTTATTTCTGTATTTTACATTATTACTGCAATGTGTGAACGCAGGACTTTGTATCAACCTGCGTCAGCGATTTGTGTGTAATTATGTAAAACTGATTACGTCAGCCCATATTATGAACAAGGTCTTAAAAATTTTATTTACGGACGCCAATTAAATAAACCTAGTATTGTGCAAGTGAGGGAAGTATCAAAGGAAAAAAGTCTACACGGATTAAATAAAACCTTGGAAATATGGACAAAACATCATTAGCGCGGAGCCCGTGGAGACATCTTGCAGTGTAAACTCGACCAAACTACAATACATAGTGTTACATCTCCGTTCGTTAGTTAATTTTCCATAAATTCGTTCCGACGAAACTTCAGCGACACAAGTCCTTTCTTAAATAAAACTGGTTTATTCTTTCCGAATACAACTTTACGATACACTTTATTTCAACAGTCGCTTTATAACAAACGCTCACGTGTCACGTGGCCAACAATATTTTATCCGCATACATTCAATTATTCATTGCACTGTTGTCCCGTCACGTTGTGAACGTCTTATATATATACAAAACTAACAGATATCTAGTAAATGCTAGGGAATTCTTGAGGGAACAGGATATTTCTAGAAACAGGTGGCGTGATACTAGTCACGTGACCTCGCTGACGCAACAATAGGAACAGAAAATCATCTAAGAAGGAAAAGAAATTAAACATGAAATCTGAAATATCTGATACAGCAATAAATAAACAAAATAGAATAGCAAAAGTCTACTGTTAGGAGGGGGAAAGAGGTCAAAGGTGTACCTGATCCTCCCAAGTCCAACAAAATCAGGCCTAAAAATCCGACACGGCGAACTACTGATTTATTGTAAGCAAAATAAAATATTTTAGTCGCATCGCAAACGTAATAGCAGAAATTTCGAAATTAATATCATTAAATTCAATCATTGAGAAACTAACATAAGTTATATCATATATTTCTAAAGATAGTTTTTAAAATAAAATCCAATTAGCTTTCATTTTTATCACACTATACATCCTATACTACACTACACTATACATTCATTACTATACATCCCCAAAATAGCTATTGATAAATGTTTGAACGATACTACCAGTTGCTTGAAATATAAACATGAGAAATGTCAATGGAAGAAAACACCTGTTAAGTTACTAAATGGCCCGACGTGGCCA